AATGCGGTGGTTAAAAGTGAGCCGACATTGGTTCTACATGTCTGACAAATACAGGATGTTTCCGAAATTGGGGCGATGAATAAAATGGGGTGTTCTATGAGAAGCAAAATTGTTTTGGAAATTTGATATGCCAGTCTTTTTCATCCTATCAGATGCTTTATTTCGACATTGTTACTATGGTAACCAGCAAATTTTTTGGATGTTTCATCCACGTGAGAATGTAGACGTAGAATTAATAAGTGGAAATTTTCTGGCAAATCATATAATTATAGACAAAATTAAAGTAATTTTGACAATATTTTATAATTTCCGGAAACCTAGTAAGAAAATTATATGAAATCAATTATTTTTATGTAATAATGTTTTTTAAATGCAATTCCGGTATGAAATTTTCTCACCAGATCCCCCATGTGCATAAATTAATTGCGGGAAATTTGTCTCGTACATGACTTTTCAAAGAAAATTCACGTACTCAAAAAATTTCCTGTGATAACTCATTCCCTAGGGGGATTATAAGTGAAAATTTGGAAAAATGTGCGCTCCCACCATACTATATCATTCAACGGCAACGTTGCCAAAGTCATTGATACTTTCTGTGCTTGTGATCTAGCCGAAAGCAAACGCTCGGATTGGGCTATTTACCTATTATCAAAAATTTACAAAATTTTCAGGCCAACTTTGAAGCTCAATATCATCCAAAATATTTATTTTTCGACAAAAATGTATTCTTTCATTTCGTTTTGTTTTTTGTCTACCATCATCAATTTCATTGATCGCCCCAATTTCGGAAACACCCAGTATATACCACATATTTCGATTTTATCTTTCCAATATTTTCACTTGGTTATGGCTATATTTTGAGGTGGAAAGTAACTTTTTTGCTGTCACTCTTTAAATATTATCGTTATAGGATGATCACAACACAAGCATTGCTTAGTTGACTTCCTATAGATTGTGAATTGAAATTACCTGAATAAAGCGATCTATCTATCTATTCAAAAAGAATGCCGTCCTCAATCGAGGACGCTGGGACAAACCAGTTTAAAAATTGAAAGAAATAATACCGTTGAAAAATAAACATATATTTTAAATATAATTTAAATAATTAGGGTATTAAAATTGAACCACAGGATTTCAAATAATTCCATAAGACAATAAATGTTTGTTGGATGTCTAGGTATACGAGATATGGATGGCTGCGAGACTGACATATTCAACGATTTTTTTATTATATTTGAATTTGATTGATTGAAATAATGATATCCAAACGACAGCCAAATGCCCCTGAAAGCTATTTCCCTGGTCTTGATTAATTTTTACACCATTTGTTTTACCCTTGCAGAATCTGTTGCTCATCGTACTTAATAGGTTGATGAAATTTTCAACAATCCCTTATGAAGCCACCATTCCAAACTTTAGAATTAGAATAGTTCAACTTCCACGTCAATGTAGGAAAATTAAATTCGGTTGTCGATAACAGACTTTCAACATTCTTAGAGATAATAAATATGCTAGAGCAAAAAGAACACCGCTTCTCCTCTTGCGCCTGTTGGCACACAAACACAATGGAATATTTTATGGTTAATAGGTTGTTTTTGTCCCCACACTTTGTCTTTGTAACAGAAGTACAACTGTTACAAATACAGGAAATCACGAAAGGAAACCATTTTATTGCCATGCTCCAATAATTCTATTGACTCTGTTCGTTGTGTGCCAATAGGCGCCATATTGAAACTAACCTAAGTTAGATTGCCTTATTGCAAGACAAGCGGCTAGCTAGACGAACGAATCTTTCAAACATCGAGGACAAGTGACGTCACCCACAACACATGATATTTCATCCTTCTTCATATTGACATGAGAATCTACGACTACTACGAGTAAAGAGAATAAAGAGATAGCTTAATGTTCTGTGTATCTGACTTCCACGTAGGTGACTGGGGTTCAATCCCTGCGAGGCGGCAATTCGTTTTTCATTTTTTCCACTCAATTAATTTTTCAAAAATATACTTTTCAGGAAAAAGGTTCATTTAGGAGAGGATAGGTTGAAAGTAATTTCCTTTTTCATGCAGAAGAGATATTTCCCTTCCTCATATTACCTAATGTCTAATAAACACGAATAACCTTCTGATAACCTTGAGGTTTGAAAGATTCGCTGTTCTAGCTGGGAGCATCTATTCCCAGCCACAACCCGTTCCGGACACAATTCGTCTTAGCCACCACTCGTTTCAGCCTCATTTCATCTCAGCCTCATTTCGTCTCAGCCACATAAGGGTAAAATTGCACGTATCATGCGATGGGTTTTTTTCGAAAGTTTTTTTCGGAATTGAAAATCACGAGTTCGATAATAAAAATGTGAACAAACCACTATTTATCGAGATATTTCAAGAAGAAGATCGAAATTTCGCCTTCTTTCTCCTCCTATCTTGGATGCATTCACAGCTACTTACTCTTCCTATTTTGTCATTGGACACTTTATATACTCATTATGTACTTCAATGACACATTTTTATATAGAAAATTCAACACGAAATATTATTTTTACGGCGAGTTTTTCATATTTAGTGAACAATGATACCAGCTGACGGCCATTTAATCAATAATCAATCCAAATACGAGAGATGCCAAATATCAACAGATTGCTTTTGAATTACGTTACCCACGCCATTATTTCGAATGATATGCTTCCTTTTTTTCACTAAATATGGATAAATCGCAAGAAATTGACACGAAATGTGGCTGAGATGAGATGTGGCTAAGACGTGATGTTGCTGTAACGAGATGAAGCTGCATTGTGTATTTCTGCTAAATTGGGTAATTTGGTTTGTATCTGGCAACAGCGCATCGCTCGGGAATATTCAGACACTTTGGTGAGACGAAATGTGGCTGAAATGAGATGTGGCTGAGAAGAAATGTGGCTGAAACGATACGTACCCGTCTAGCTAGACGCTTGTGTTCAGCCCTAGCCAATGACGGCTAAATATCTAGACTGTCTGATGGATTATACATGACTGTCCAATCACTCAGTTTAGTGTATGGGTTGCGTGCAAGAACTGTCAGATGACTGTCGTTGGAGGCACAACATTGAAACACAACCTCACTTTTCTTACTTGTTTACAAGTGATGGAAATAGGTCGCGTGCAAGAACTGTCAGATGACCGACCCTGGAAGCAAAACATATTTGTTTACAAGTGATCGAAATAGTTTTCCACAATTATTTCGGCATAGGAATCGTATTTTTCCGCTATTCATCAATTCGCTAATGCCATCACATTGTGCTGTTGTAAAATGCACAAAAACTGCAGCGGAAGATGAAGAAATCCGGATGGTACATTATGATTCAAAAGTAAGTACCTACTATAGTCGCTCACATAGTTTTCATTTTTGAAATTTGGTTATTTCTCCGATTTCTCATCGGAATTCCTTCTGCAATAGGATCAGCTAATAGAAATATACCTGAAATTTCTAGAATAATGCAAGAAGATTGGATTCATGCAATCAATCGGTAGGACTGGTCTGACATGCTGACGATCGTGTGTGTTGTAGACATTTTCAATCTATTAGCAGCATTAGCTTGTATTGCAGAAGTGGCAGAAGGCAGAAGGAATTTTAATAAGGGATGACAACATTTCATAATGCTAACTATGTGAGATTACTATTTACCTGAAAAATCATATTCCTTAGTCTCTTGCTGCATTTTTTGTGCATCGTACAACAGCACAATGCGAAGGCATGCTTGAATTAATGAATAACGCAAGAAACACGATTCGTATTCCAAAATATTGTGAAAAACTATTTCAATCCTTTGATTCCTCCGTAACCAAATAAAAAAGTGAGGTTGCGTTGCAATAATTCACAGAAAAATGAGGTTGTGTTTCAATATTTTGCCTCCAGGGTCGGTCATCGTGCACGCGACCTATACTATTATACCAGAGGGGATTAGCTACCGTCCCTTCCGGAGAAGTCATTTGTTTTCTGTTATTTTGAACTTTTATACTCAGTTGTTTTCCAATAATATAGAGGTTATATCATGGTGGAAATATAATATGGTGTGCTACTCAGGTATCTTGAATTCGTCTTTTCTGCGCATAACATCATTGCGAGTCTATACTCGCACCAAAATGATCACGGCGACTTGGGTGAACTGAAAACTGTGAGCTCAGACGGCCAGCAATTGTTTTACTCGCAGTGAACGCAGTATACGAAGATGCGTCGTAGCACACCATGGGTTATATCAAGTGTCAAAACTGTGTCACTGTCAGCTCCCTGCGTTCTGTTAGGTATCGATTTCAAATTCCTTTCCTTTTTCAAATTTTCATTCAAATAAACATTCTTCTTTGTGTTAAGCTGTGTTCATAACCAAACTTTTTACGTTTCGCATTCTGACTGGTGAAGCAAAATCTGGAATGAACATGACGCAAAAAGCTGAATATTTTCAACTTTTTGCGTTGCAAGATGCCACTATGTGTGAAAATGGCACGATGTAGGATGGTAAAAATGGACAAATACTCAATACTTAACCTATTTTCACACCACCCTTCAATGATAGTCTCACCCAATATTTGAATTTTTAGGATTGATTTTTCTTTTTAAAGAGCAATTTACGTCTCCGCCAGTCCCAGTACTCATGAATATTATTCGTTATTCGATTAATATTATTGTTGTGATTGTTTCACTTAATTTCAGGATGAAGCACAAGTGACAAAACCGAGACAACAGAGAAAAGCCGTAAAAACTCACGTTGATGTGTTTTGTTGAGAATGATATTTTCTTCAGTTTAATTCACGTTCAATTTCAGATTCTGCTTCACCAATCAGAATACGAAACGTAAAAAGCAAAACGGTAAAAGTTTGGTTATGAACCCCGCTTAAGTAGCAGTAAGTGTAGTGCTGGTAGTTTATTTATTCATTTTTGCTAGTTGTGTTCACGCATTTTCAGCCTTCAGTGTTTCAGATTCTCTTTTTTGAATATTATACCTACCCAATGATAAACTTCACAACAAGAATGGTCGAATTTTATTTTGGAAGGCATCGGTAAGAATATGATTTTACATGTACTTTTTCCTGATGATTTTCAATTTCTACCTCGATTCCACCATTAGAACACTGGTGTTGATTCTGGTGTTGGAGTAATAATCAATAGCACTATACAAATGGCGACTCATCTCGACTATAAAGCCTTGAGAAGGCATGCAGTGTGAAATGGGAAAACGTAACCTGTCAACGTCACCTGTCACCATTTCCTGGTCAATATTTTCCACAATCACCGTAGGTAAAGAAAATTCGGATATAAATAACTGACTTTAAACGTTCTTAGAGATAATAACGCTAGAGCAAGAATAAACACACTCTCTAGCCCCTAATTGCAAGCCCTGGCGCTCGTCCTCGCCTCGTGGAACTTCGCCATGCGCTCTTCCAGCTCGGGCCGGAAGTGACGTATGAGGCCCTGCACGGGCCAGGCTGCGCCGTCCGCTAATGCGCAGATCGAGTGGCCTTCGACCTGCTTGCTGATCTCCCACAGCATGTCGATCTCTTCGGGTCTCGCGTTGCCGTCCACGAAGCGGTACATCATCTTGTTCATCCAGTTCACGCCTGGAAGGAGAAGAATACCGATTTTAGCAAGGCGTTTGACAAGATCGACCACGCAATCTTGTTGACAAAGCTAGCTGGAATGGGTATTCCTGGTGACATCTCGAGATGGATTCAATCCTAACTTTATTTACAGATGATACCACGATTCTCTGGCATAACGAAGATCGAGCTAGTCTGGCTCAGTCTATTTCAGTGGACGTTGAAAAAATAAAAATTTGGTGTGAAGCTAATATGCTAACTCTGAATGTTTCTAAAACAAATTTAGTGACATTCAAGTCAGAGATTGAACAAATTGCTCTAGGAGATCAACTCATTGAGAGCAAGTCTGTCACGAAATTTCTTGGTGTTCACATAGATAGCAATTTGAAGTTTGACCATCATATATCAGCTCTTAAGAAAAAAATATCAGCTGGCTGCTTCGCAGTCAATGTGATGTCCCGTGAACTTGGATTGCAAGCTTCAATATCAGCATACTACTTACTCACTTATTGAATCGCATCTACGGTATGGAATTTCATTCTGGGGGTGTAGCTGTCATGGTCTCTTAAATAGTGTTTTCGTCCTTCAAAAACGAGCTCTGAGATTTGTATTCAAACTCAAGCCGCGTGACTCATGCAGGCCAATGTTTCACAACTATAAGATATTGACGGTCTTTGAAATTTTCGTTTTAGAAACAATCTGTTTGCTTCACAAATATAGAAGAAATTTCATGAACGCAAACATAGACAAGATTACGCGTAATAAAAGGAACCTTGCTCTTCCTCTGCCTAGTTCATCTTTAACGAGACAATCCTTAATTTATAGGAGTAAAAAGATTTACAATCATTTACCAGAATGTACAACTATGATCAATGATTTGAAACAATTCCGTAGATCTGTCAAAGATATGTTAGTGGGAAAAGGCTTGTACAGTTTGGATGAATACTTTGCCTACAAATTCTAGTCTTTCTATGATATGTGAGAATAATTAGAGATTCATATTATTGATTTTAAAGATAATTGTTGTTTGTAATAATTATGAAACTTGTCTATGTTATTTTATTTTATATATTTTTGTTCTGTATTATTTTTATATATTCCTGTTCTGTTTTATTTATTTATAATCTTGCAATCGCAAGATACTGACTTTGTCTTCAAAATGTGCTCATTTTAGACAATAAAGCTTATCTATCTATCTACCTATCTACATCACAAATAGATCCCAGATACAGTTCTCAACACACTAAATGGACCACTCATAATTTGACTCTATTTCAAAGACCTGTATTTTTTGAAAAAATTGACCGATCTTCATGAGGTTTTCGATATCAGATGAGAGAGAAAATTTGTTTTCTGATATCGATGATTCTTATCAACTGATTTCCAATATTTATTGCCCAAGTATGGGACACAGAGTATTGTTGTTCAATATACTGAGTGTTTCACAACTTATCTGACAAATTTCAACCACAACTACGATATTACATAAGAAGTCGATCACATAATAATTTTATAGAAGTAAAACGAGATGGAAAATAAAATTTATAACACTATTGGCAAGACAAGACAGATACGACTTTGCTATTGAAATAATCATTTTTTATGTTGAAAACGGTAGCAGATTCGGTCCCGAAACGTCCAAAGATAAGTGAAAATTTGATATTTTTTCTATATACCTTTATTTCTCTTCTCCAAACTTTTTTCAATACAAATTGTCACTGACAAGCTAGAGAATTTTTCTTTTAGGCTCTCTGATAGGAAAATTCTTTAAACGCAGTGACATTTTGGGGCAAATCATCTGATTTGTCCTTACTACACGTATATTGAAATAATACTAATATTCTTATTTTATAGAAACGAGGAGAAAATCCCAAAAAATTTGTTGTTTACCTGGTCATAACTTTCTCATTATTGGATATTTTCGAGTCAAATTCATTCAGTAGCATTAGCAAGGGTAGTAGGTTCTGTTCCTGTGACCATTTAGGGTTAAATGTCATTTTTTCCGCATTTTTGTGAGTTTAAGAACATGTGCTTTTGGATGCTAGTTCCTGCAGGCATAGTTGAGGATTCCGACCAATTAGAATCTAGGACTGAGAAGTCCTTGTACCGAGGTTGACGGGACAGCTAAGGGATCACTCTCTACTCTCTACTCTCTACTACTCTCTACTACTCTCTAAAGTATTGATGTATAGTGATTTCGTAGATAAAGACGATTAACCACACTAAAATTCCGATATTACAAAAATTAGAACATTGAAGGAAAAAGGAAAGATAAATACGAATTGAATCTGTTTAATTTGTTTGGAACTGTGTTTCCGATTCTCCAGGTAGACTCATTAATGAAATAGTTTGAATAAATAATTGTCCAGGCCTAACCTAAAAATACCAGAGACCCGTTTTCGCTTTGATTCCTGTAATTATCCAGAATTAAAATAGCAACCAGTATTCCAGACTAAACCCAGGGTTTGTGATTATAGCCTACACTCCCTTGGCTCCTTATTGATTCCAGGTTGATTCAATAACATTGACCCCTGGTTTATACTGTAGGTACCGAGGTAGGTATACCTCCTGAACCTGTCTCCACTGTTGTTGCCCAGGCCTTCTAATAAACTGAGGAGTTTATAGAAGCAGTTGGAGTAAACCACCTTATATTCAATCTGGCGCCCGAGACCCCTCCGACAAGTACCAGAGTTGGCTCTGTCAGAACAAGCGCCAAAGTAAGGGCCTCAGAAATAATAGCCGTTACAATATTTGTTGAAGTAGAAACATGTTTCGGATCCATCGTCAGGCAATTCGCGATGGAAAATACCTCGTCGCCCCACCTGACGGCAACAACTGAAATACTTCTGAGCGATTTGTTTTCAAAATTTTTCAATAGGTTTGTCATCTTGTTTTCGTGATTTTTTTCAATGAATCAAAAGTAGACTATTTGTGCAGATTGAAGAAAGCTTCAAGTTTTTTGTTTTCATCTCTTGAGTTTTGATGGCGTTGAATTGAACAAGGTTGTTGGTTCCCCAGGCTGTAATTTCTGTAAGATCTTTATTGACAGCATTGGCATGAGTTCGTAGTAAATTTTCAATTTCCTGGGAAGAAATGGGAATTCTAGAAGAGAACACAGTATGGAGAGTACTATCATCTGCGAAGCAATAGGAACAATGTTGGTGCCGATGTTATGTTTGAAGACGATGAAGTTGGAGAATCAACGATAATTGAATACTTACACAGAACGGAACGTAGTTCCCAAACCCTTCCGATAACATGAACAATATAATCATAATGACAATAGATGAAACAGAGAAGAAAACAAATATTTTCAAGGGGAGGATATGAAGGCTTTAACAATGTTTCATAATCAAAATGTGTTCACTCATTTAATGAGGTCACCTTGTTCTTATTTTAACAACTCCGAACCTCATGTGTTCAAATACATTCAGAAACTTCTGTAACCCATACTCTAAAAGACAACACAATAAAAATAAATAAGTTCTGAGCTTACCTTCTCTGCATGGTGTGCACTGTCCGCATGATTCGTGTTTGTAAAACATGATCAGCCTGGCGATAGCCTTCACAATATCCGTTTGTTTGTTCATCACGATTATGGCTGCGGTACCCAAACTAGTCTGGCATGCCACAAGACCGTCGAAATCCATCAAGGCTTCTTCGCAGACCCTGAAAAACGGTGCTCAAAGTGACACTTTCTTGAAGAGGACATAAATATAAAACCAAAGTTTAAGCGACGAAGTTCGAATGTAAATTAATGGAACGCCTAAGAATGCCATATCACGAGCTGGCGATTCATCGGTTTCCTCTCGGGGTAACTAGTTAAAGAGTGATTTGTTTTGCTTATTCCATCTGTTGAAAAGACATCATCAAATGAAAAACTATCACACACTAAGGAAATCTTATGGGGTGTTCCACAAGGATCATTTCTGGGTCCGATTCTTTTCCTTATATACCTAAACGACCTAGTTATTCTTTCAATTCAACACAACGCTCCGTTGGCATGGAAAAAATACTGATCGTATGAAAGATACTATATCTGGAGATTTAGATGTTGTAAAAAAATGGTGTGAAGCAAACTACTTGAGCTCTAACATTAAAAAAACAAACTTACTGACCTTCAACTGTAATATCGACAATGTGTACTTAAATGGACATTTTATTCGGAATAAAAACCAATCCAAATTCCTGGGAATCTTTATTGATAATAAATTAAAATTTGACCAGCATTTTTCAGCTTCAACAGAAAAATTGGCTGCAGGATGTTATGCACTCCGAATTGTTTCAAATGAACCGAGTTCATCCACAACTAAAATGGTATATTATTCTCAGATTGAGTATCAATCGACATATGGTGTTGCCTTTGGGGGATTATGCAGTTAACAACTTTTTAATTCAGTGTTTGTTTTGCAAAAGCGAGTGATAAGATACTTATGCAAGGTGGCGTGCGTGATTTATGTAGACCCTTATTCATTAGAGACAAAATTCTAACTATCCCTTGTATTTTTATTCTGGAAACTGCTTGCCTGATTTACAAAAATCATAATATGGTTGAAACTTCGAGACATACAAATTACGTAACTCGTCAAGCAACAGGCAAAATTAAATACCTCCTCCTGTTAAAAAACAAGCCAGACAAAATATTCTTTAATTTATAAAAGTAAAAAGATATTAAAAGTTCAGAAATCTTGTTAAAGGAGCACTTTCAACAAAAGCGTACTACAACCTTGAGGAATATTATAATCGAACTTTGTTGTGATTAAAAATTGTATATTGTTATTTACACCTATATGTGGAAGTCTGATTTTGAACTGTGAAATATGTTTCAATTTGATGACTTGTGAACTTATGTTTAAAATGTGTGTGTCTGTATATTTGTTTTTTTTTTCTACAAACTGCAGATCTGCATGTTGAATTCTGTTTTAGATTGAAATATTTCATATTTTATATATGACGTGTGAACTTGTTTCAAATTGTGTGTTTCTGTGTATTTGTGTTTTGATTTTGAATCTTTTCACTGTTTTTCAAAAGATGGCTATTTTTTGTAGCTTTGGCAATAAGAAATTATTTTTCTTCGACGACAATAAAGTATCTCTCTCCCTCTCCCTCCCTCCTACCCTCCCTCTCTCTCCCTCTCCCTCTCCCTCTCCCTCTCCCTCTCCCTCTCCCTCTCCCTCTCCCTCTCCCTCTCCCTCTCCCTCTCCCTCTCCCTCTCCCTCTCCCTCTCCCTCTCCCTCTCCCTCTCCCTCTCCCTCTCCCTCTCCCTCTCCCTCTCCCTACGGTAAAATGCTTCATTCCTACGGGAGAACGGATTATAGGACATAACTTCTAAACGCCTGAACCGATTGGATTGACATTTTATATGGGTATTTCAATTGTTTCCTGGATGATTTAAAAATATAATTGGATGCGATAGGTGGCGCTGCTAAACGGCTCGATTGGGTTGCAATAGACCGGGCCGGACATAATCAACACTCTTATACACAAATTCGAACCCAAAAATTAAAGTCGTGACGATGATTCTTCGGACTGGGCCCAGTTTACAGCTTCCAATAATTGTTTCAGACTCACAATTAGTCCATACACATTAAAAAATAGTGTGATGAACTATTCACCACATTTCCAAATTACTGGAAAGTTTATTGAAAGATTTATCGCCACACACGATAGATCTTTTCTGTTCACATACACCATGAATTCCAGACTCTCCCAGAATGCTACTTTTTCATGAATTGTTCTGAGAAATGGCGCGCGAATTTGGCGGCAGTACATCGTGGCGGCAGTCCATTCCTATTGGTTCACGTGACCAATAACAATAACGAACGGAATGAAGCATGTATTCAAGTTCGCTGATTTTGCCGCGAATATTCAAATTGAATTGGGAATTAAGAATAAGAAAGAAGTACTGTGCTTCTCTAACATAGGGAGTGAAATAATCACTTCACTACCGCACTTATTATTATTATCATTGAAAAACTAGATGAAAAAATTGTGACTTACTTTTTGGGTATTAAAGGCGTCGACGATCCGCCCGGTATGATGGCCAACAGGTTGTCCCAGCCCCCTTGCACCCCTCCCGCGTGCAGCTCGATCAGCTGCTTGAGGGGGATGCTCATCTCCTCCTCCACCGTGCACGGTCTGTTCACGTGACCGCTGATGTTGAACAGCTTGGTGCCGGAGTTCCTGGTGCGCCCGAACGAGGCGAACCACGTGCCCCCACGGCGGCATATCGTCTGAAAAAAAAAACGATATTTTTTTTGAAAAAAAAAGCAATTTTTCCGATGGATTCGCGATTTTTTCATTCAATCAGATTTTTTCCTTGAACAATGAACTTTAATATTACTTATTTTCAGCATGAGTTCAGAATCTTCGACAACCGACAATCGACATGCTTTCATAGATAACATTAGGTACCAAAGTTGTTTTGCTATATACATTATTTCTATAATATATTTTTTCAGTTCAATATCCATCAAGACACTATCATCATTTTATTGTCTACTTCTTTTTAGTTTCGCTATCTATAAAAGCGTGTTTCTTTAGTTTTTCAAACTACCATTTATTTCAACTTCTTTTTAGTTCACTTGAATTTACCAATTTTGACGAAAGAATCATTATATCCGACTCCTGAAACCCCAGATGAAAATTTTGAATAGAATCGGAACATAATTACAACTCGTCCGCAATATTGAATCTACCAATTCCCTAATTTTTACAAAGGAATCATAATTTTTTATCCCGAAAACGCCCACTGACAAATTTTAATAGAATCGGTATATAATTACAAATCTCGTCCGGTATATTGGTTCCATCGTCTTGAATTTGCAAATCCCGCCCTTTTCAAATTTTTAACAAAAGAATTATAATCTCCGACCCTGAAAATACCCAGATAACAATTTTGATGAGAGTCGGATCATAATTACAATACTCGTCGGATCCTAATTACAAAATGCGCCATTTTTGATCCACCATCTTGAATTTCCTAATTTTGACGAAAGAATCATAATCCCTGATCACGAAAACCCCTAGTTACCAATTTTGAAAAGAATTGGATTATAATTCCAAACTCGTCCGCCATATTGGTTCCGCCATCTTGAATTTCCGAATTCCGCCCAAATTTTCAAATTCTGACGAAACTTCTTGATAGCTTCTCATGATCAATAGGGTTTGATTTGTTTAGGTTACAAGAATGTAACTTTATGACATCAAATAAAATGCTCAATAATTAAAAAGGCAGTTTAAATAAATACTTAGGAAGATTTAGTATAAACAACATGTAGATTTGGCAACGTTGTAAATGGTATTTTTAGATCAGACTTGCTGAAAACTTCCTTATAAATTAATTTTTATTGTCATATCGCCACGAAATGTTCATTTGTCATATTAACAAAAATGAAGGGAATACAAATTTGATATCATAGGGTCATAGTAGTTTTGAGACGACAAATCGAATGCGCTAAAAATAAATATAGCATTACATTTAAAAAAATAAAGTTGAGGGCTATAGGAAAAACTGTAAAAGTAGCAACGTTGCAAATATTATTTTTAGATCCGGCACAACTGATTACCCTTGTATACCAAATTTCATAATTTTATGTCGGCCGTTCCGGTTTATTCGCATACTCCATGTGATGATAATATCAATTCTTTCTCGGTTTATTCAACAGAAAACAAGTACTTTCCTAGCTATATGCCACGACGAACATTGAATTACATTCATTGAACACACAATCATGATAAGCATTTGAAAACAAAATTTTCTGAACTAGAGAATTTGCATCCTCCTTCATATAAAGATATGCACATAATATCATTCTGAATATTCAACAGAAATTAACTACTTTTCTGGCTATTTGCCATGTCGAACATTGAATTATATCTGTTATATTTTCAAATCATAATACATCATATTATTCTATTCGATTTGAGAGATAATGTCAATTCTCAATTTCAGAGGATTTTGATTCTTCATGCTCTCTTATTGGATATTCATGGAAAATTATCATCACCATTTGGATATAATAATTATGTAGAGTTGAATGGGAAATTACATGTGGAAATTACGTATGATACGCCAATGTCCTCTATATTACCTAAAAAACAACAAATGTCAGAAATATCGTGTTTATCCCCAGAAATGAATAAAGATGGAACAATAGTACTATTTCACAAACACTTTAGAGTGAGAGGAGACGAGGATCTGTCCGTACCCTGTTAAGATGACAAATACGTCAATTTACATCAAGAGACCCTATTACTAACCGGTGCGACGGCCACCGTCTCGACGTTGGTCACGGTGGTGGGGCAGCCGAACACGCCCACGTCGGCGGGGAAGGGCGGCTTGAGGCGCGGCTTGCCCTGCTTGCCCTCGATCGACTCGATGAGGGCGGTCTCCTCGCCGCATATGTACGCGCCTGCGCCGCGGTGCATGAACACGTCGAAGTCATAGCCGGAGCCGCAGGCGTCTTTGCCGAGGAAGCCGGCCTGGTACGCCTGGAACATCAAATGATGGATAACTCAGACTATATAATAGACACCTCGATACATTCATAAACCATTAAAGAGTATAGGGAAGGAGAAGGGAAGGAGAAGGGAAGGAGAAGGGAAGGAGAAGGGAAGGAGAAGGGAAGGAGAAGGGAAGGAGAAGGGAAGGAGAAGGGAAGGAGAAGGGAAGGAGAAGGGAAGGAGAAGGGAAGGAGAAGGGAAGGAGAAGGGAAGGAGAAGGGAAGGAGAAGGGAAGGAGAAGGGAAGGAGAAGGGAAGGAGAAGGGAAGGAGAAGGGAAGGAGAAGGGAAGGAGAAGGGAAGGAGAAGGGAAGGAGAAGGGAAGGAGAAGGGAAGGAGAAGGGAAGGAGAAGGGAAGGAGAAGGGAAGGAGAAGGGAAGGAGAAGGGAAGGAGAAGGGAAGGAGAAGGGAAGGAGAAGGGAAGGAGAAGGGAAGGAGAAGGGAAGGAGAAGGGAAGGAGAAGGGAAGGAGAAGGGAAGGAGAAGGGAAGGAGAACGAAAGGGAATGAGAAGGGATGGAGAAGGAAAGGAGAAGGAAAGGAGAAGGGAAGGTGAACGAAAGGGAATGAGAAGGGATGGAGAAGGAAAGGAGAAGGAAAGGAGAAGCGAAGAAACGAAAGATAAATTATAATAAATCCTCACTTACCTCGGCGATAGCGACTTGCATGTTGGACGCCTCGTTGTAAAACTCCCCCCTGATGTAGATGTACGCCGCCTTGGCTCCCATCGCCCTGCCGGCGATCAGGCAGCCTTCGACCAGCTTGTGCGGGTCGTGGCGCATGATCTCCCTGTCTTTGCACGTGCCCGGCTCCCCCTCGTCCGCGTTGACGACGAGATACTTGGGCCGGCCGTCGCTGGGTTTGTTCATGAAAGACCACTTCATGCCGGAGGGAAAGCCGGCGCCCCCGCGGCCTCGGAGACCGGATACTTTGACTTCGTCTGGAAGGAATTGGGAGATGGTTTTCAATGCTATATACAGGGTGGCCCACGGTCGATGGTACCTTAGACGTATACAGAAAACGGTACATTGGATTATTCTGAAAATTTGGTTACTATAATAAGCGTTTGTGATCTAACGATTCAAAATATTTTCAGCGATGCAGCGTTGCCACTTTCACCAAAAAGTAGCATAATCTTTGTTATTTCAAATGGAACACTCTGTATTTTATTGCGTTTTTAGATTCTTCTCAAAGAGCTGATTTCATCAATGTATTACACTTGGGGTCTAGCAGGAATTATTACAGAGATATAGGTGTTCAAAATCGAGATTTTTCAACTTTAGGATTTTTTTGTGTCGAAACGATTCATCATTGGTCAAAACGGCTCACATGTCCCTATATTAACTTTTCATCAACTATCTACCGACATTTAATTGAAAAAATACAGGATGGTCCAAGATTCAGAATTTTGATCACCCTGTATCTGTTCTAATTAAATGTCAGTAGATAGTGAATCAAAAGTTAAGATAGGGACATGCAAGCCGTTTTGATCGATAATGAATAATTTCGACACAAAAAGTTCCTGAAATTGAAAAATCTCGATTTTGAACACCCTATATCTCTGTAATAATTCCTGCTAGACCCCAAGTGTGATACATCGATGAAATCAGCTCTTCGAGAAAAATCTAAAAACGTAATGAAATACAGGGTGTTCCATTTGAAATAACAAAGATGATGCTACTTTTTGGTAAAAGTGGCAACGCTGCATCGCTGAAAATATTTTGAATCGTTAGATCACAAACGCTTATTAGAGTAACCAAATTTTCAGGATAATCCAATGTACCGTTTTCCGTATACGTCTAAGGTACCATCGACCGTGGGCCACCCTGTATATAAACAATGGAGTTCCCCAAGGATCAGTGTCGGGCCCAATTTTGCATCTTTCATGCATTCAAAACATTTCAAAAATAAATTCAATAGGAAACTAAGCCATATATGCAGATAACACAGTACTTTTATACGGAAACAATGAAAAGTTAACAAAGAAAAAATGTCTTCCATAGTTGGTGCCCCAAGAAGATGTCCAAAACTTATCCTAAATATAGCAAATACCATTCTATACTCCTACATCCTTGGTAAAATGAACTATATTCCGAATCTGAAGTGATTCCCGACCTATTTTGACTCCTAATATCATTTTCCGGAAATTGGGATGGTTCCATGGCTGTTGGCGAGCAGTTTATATCACTGAAGATAAACCCAATTGGTCATAGAGAGCATTTTTGGTATATCTCCCGCTCCAGCAAGTTCAGGATTTTTACCCAAGGATTACGTAAGATACAAGAAGTGGGTCACACTGTATATATATCCCACTGTATATATATCCATATTTCATGTTCATAATTTATCTGTGAATATTCCTTTTCAAATTAAAATATGTTCATTTCAAAACACACACTTTCTGCACCATTTGAAATGGTGTCAATTCATTGGTGTGACGTATTAGTCCCAACACGCCTATTGTCCTTGAGCTGACCAATCACACTGCAACACTGCAGAATGGCAAGGAATCAGAGAGAGATAGCTGGATTTTTGAAACATCAAATGGCATAATATGCTGATCTCAAAGCGATATAGATTTGATACCATTCAACTTCAACTTATAATATTGATTGTACATTGAAAGTGAATCATTTTATCATGGATTACCATTTGAAATGGTGTCAATTCATTGGTGTGACGTATTAGCCCCAACACGCCTATTGTCCTTGAGCTGACCAATCACACTGCAACACTGCAGAATGGCAAGGAATCAGAGAGAGATAGCTGGATTTTTGAAACATCAAATGGCATATGCTGATCTCAAAGCGATATAGATTTGATACCATTCAACTTCAACTTATAATATTGATTGTACATTGAAAGTGAATCATTATCATGGATTAAAAGAAGTTTGGGCGGATTTCATCCCTCAGTGGTCTTTCCCATTGGGCAATTTTGAAATTTGGCAGGAAAATATGCAACTTCCTTATCCTCATGACATTTTACGTGCGCCTACATGGTTTTCAATGCAAATAAGCAATTTTTTAAGTCTGGCGGAAAAAATATGCAACTTCGTTATACATTGGATTCACAAAAATATGCATAGATTCAGAATCCTCCGGACATTTTACGTGCACCTAGATGGATCAATATAAAATATTGAGCAATTTTTGAAATTCGACTGGAAAAATATGCAACTTTTCTGCAACATCTCTTGTAAGCTCCTAATAGATTTACATCAACCTGCTGGAAACTCTGTACATGAATTTGACATTATTTGTTTTTTATGGAACTAATATACACTACTTATCTATTCAATAGATTGTAGGGAGATGGATCATGAATATTCGTGACCTATTGTATTTTATTCATTTTATTCAAACATTGATATGCAGTGGTTCTCCTAGCTTCATATAAACCTAGCAGAATGAAAGATTTTTTTTACAAAAAAGGCATGATAATTTTTTTTGAAGTGATAATTAATTAGGGATAAACTCCTGATGAATTTTGGTGTTTCTCACAAATTACCAACAAATTATGTTGATATTGTTACAAAAAAAAAACATAGATATCAAGTAGTTCTCCTAGCTTCATATAAACCTAGCAGAATGAAAGAATTTTTTTACAAAAAAGGCATGATAATTTTTTTGAAGTGACAATTTATTAGGGATAAACTATGTGGTGATGAATTTTGGTGCATCAGTTCTTCTAAAAAGTGAATAGATAGATACCCAGTGGTTCTGACAAATTACCAACAAATTATGTTGATATTGTTATAAAAAAAACATAGATATCAAGAGTGGTTCTCCTAGCTTCATATAAACCCAGCAGAATGAAAGAATTTGTTTACAAAAAAGGCATGATAATTTTTTTGAAGTGACAATTCATTAGGGATAAACTATGTGGTGATGAATTTTGGTGCATCAGTTCTTCTAAAAAGTGAATTGATAGATACCCAGTGGTTCTGACAAATTACCAACAAATGATGTTGATGTTGTTATAAAAAAACATAGATATAAAGTGGTTCTCCTAGCTTCATATAAACCCAGCAGAATGAAAGAATTTGTTTACAAAAAAGGCATGATAATTTTTTTGAAGTGACAATTCATTAGGGATAAACTATGTGGTGATGAATTTTGGTGCATCAGTTCTTCTAAAAAGTGAATAGATAGATACCCAGTGGTTCTGACAAATTACCAACAAATTATGTTGATATTGTTATAAAAAAAACATAGATATCAAGAGTGGTTCTCCTAGCTTCATATAAACCCAGCAGAATGAAAGAATTTGTTTACAAAAAAGGCATCATAATTTTTTTGAAGTGACAATTTATTAGGGATAAACTATGTGGTGATGAATTTTGGTGCATCAGTTCTTCTAAAAAGTGAATAGATAGATACCCAGTGGTTCTGACAAATTACCAACAAATTATGTTGATATTGTTATGAAAAAAACATGGATATCAAGTGGTTCTCCTAGCTTCATATAAACCTAACAGAATGAAAGAATTTTTTTACAAAAAAGGCATGATAATTTTTTTGAAGTGACAATTCATTAGGGATAAACTATGTGGTGATGAATTTTGGTGCATCAGTTCTTCTAAAAAGTGAATAGATAGATACCCAGTGGTTCTGACAAATTACCAACAAATTATGTTGATATTGTTATAAAAAAAAAATCATAGATATTGAGTGAACAGAATGAAAGAATTCTTTTACAAAAAAGGCAGGATAATTTTTTTGAAGTGATAATTAATTAGGGATAAACTAGTGATGAAGTTAGGTGCATCAAAGCTTCTAAAAAGTGAATAGAAAGATACCCAGTGGTTCTGACAAATTACCAACAAATTATGTTGATATTGTTATAAAAAAAAATCATAGATATTGAGTGGTTCTGCTAGCTTCATATAAACCTAGCAGAATGAAAGATTTTTCTACAAAAATAGACTGACAATTATTTTAAAGTGATAATCAATTAGCCATAAACTAGTGACAACTGATGTTGCATCAGGTCTTCAAAAAAGTAAATAGATAGATACCCAGTGGTTCTGCCAGCTTCATATGCACCCAGCAGAATCATGGAATTTTTTGTTAAAAATGATGAATGACCAATTTTGTTATGGCAATAAAAGTGAAAAATACAAATTATGGAATAGTAACAAATTTGAAATTCCAATATGGTTCTGCTATGTTTGGGGGGCAAAAAATGTGATGTTACCTTGATTGCCCACAGCTTCTTCTCTGAAAAGTTTCATTTAATCACTATCATACTCCGAAACAAAATATATACTAGGTACTCACCTCATTCTTTGGCATCATCAAATATGTGCTGAAGGTATAGAAACTATTCAGTTTTAATTATAAAAATATATTAATACTAGGTTAGTTTTTTTTCTAATTTTTTTATTAGATCTCACTGAAAATCATTGAAAACATATAACATTAAATTTTTTGGTGTCAGGGACAATAGATAATTTTTTCTACCACTAACTGTAGAACCTACCATTATTTATTCCTTTTCAAGGCATGAAGGGTCTTTTTATTCCCAAGGTCAACCACTAGTTGATAATAACATAGCCACCTCTGTATTAATCAACAGGAATTCACTGTTCTAATTCAATATCCACAGATATAAGCTTGGCCCCTGGGTAATAATGATACCTTGGTGTAAAAATAACTATTTCTGTTGATGGACCACCATTCATCTGTTCTCAATCATAATCATCCCTATTAAAAATCATGATGATTTCTACATGAATATTCCATACTGGATTTTCACAAAGCCACAGATTTTGTATAGCTAGGAGTTTTCATAGTCCAGTTAACTCACTTATAATCCAGTCAGATCCCTTGAGCAATATTTCCTTGGTCTTGTACCAATCCCCACGTTTCATGGATGGCTTCAGTCTCCAATCATGCCTGCCATACAAGTTGGTGAAAATCCTGTCTTCATCTGCCAAAGGGCCAAAGGTAGTTTTGGTTTGCGGTGGCGGAGTACCAGGCGGTGGTCCCGAATAGAAAGCGATCTGTACATGGTTCACTGAAGGTAAAACTGATCCTGAAATGGGGAGATTACATATTATGATTGTATATATAATATTATGTAATTGTTAGTGGGTTAGTAGGTTTGCTAGTGAATGTCATAGATCTTGTATGATACATTTATATGACAACAAAGCAATGCTACTTACTGACTTGGATTTTCCCTAAATTTGATATTCGAATCAGAGTTCCTGCCATTTGGAATGTTGCACAATATTACCTAGAATTCCTAGACAAAAATCAACATTCGAATCATTCAATATGATGACAGATATGAAGTTGGAGAGTTGAAGTTGAAGATAGAAAGGACAGATTGAGGTTAACAGATGACAGTGATGACACTGACATTACCGACATCGCTTTTTTTCAAGAGACAAACCGACAAAGCGGAAGATCTCAAGGTTATATGACTTTCTCTGTTTACATTATGCCATAAACAGAGACAACAATGAGGAAAAATCATCATACGCAAGTTTAGCAAAACAAACGAAGAGACCTACTGATTCGATGATGTGGAATTCAGGTGTATAAATTGGAAACTGCGAACATTCATCACCTATCAGAATGAAGCTAACAGTCCTTTACAGTTCTGCCTCGTGACGCCGATCTCTGTTTGACACCAGCTGCGTTCGGAGGATCACTCTTGATCTGTTTACCTTGGATCTGTTTGACACTAGTTGCGTTCGGCGATTTGCTCTCTATCTACTCTTGATTCAGACTTCAGAGTAATAGATGTTCATGACGTCATTGCAGATATCATTAATCCTTAGATCATTAACTTCATTTAGGACGCTGTATAATCTTGAATTATTAGGCGTTTTCGCAAAATTTTTTGGTTTGCTAATTCGATCGAGAGAGGTCACGTCACAAGCTCACCAACTCGTGTTCAACGCTCATGAACGCGTCAGGTTAGGACTACATAATAATAAATTGGATAAAAAAAACACCAACATCACACCTAACAAAATTCTATTCTCTATGCATTAGTAAATTTCGGGCAAATTGGTAATGCGCATGCGTTGTCCTTAGCGATTCTGGCAACCCTGCTTTTGATTAAAAATTGATTGAAAAATAAATAATAAAAACTTTCTATGATATATCACCTTCCATAACCAATATAAAGTAGGTGGGTGAGTATATGTACTTCGTTGGAATGTAAATAATAAGTACATACCAATTGTCCATCGACCTTACGATCGAGATGTCCTTCAGCTCATGTGTGTTATGTGTTGACTTTGTTAATTACTCCATACGTCACCTTAGAAGCAGCAATGCTAATTGGAATGCAACAGCGAATCGTGCGGAATCATCTCCGGCTGAGGATACGAAAATTAAAATGTATAACTATTTTTACAGATACACATTCTCTGCCGGGGTTCGAACCTAGTGACCTTTCGGTGTTCTGATTGCTAGCGGAGCGCTCAACCGTAAACAAATATAAAACTTTGAAGAAATATTCGAAATAAATTGAATATAATTCGTAACAGGAATGGGAAATTTCATCACCGGTCGCTTGTTTCTGTTCTGGTTTCTTATTCTGCTATGCAATTTTGGGTCAATTCATAACATGGTGCTTCTTCGAACAACAACATAGTTGGTAGCAAATCTTGAAGGTTTGAGAAATTGAAAATCAAAATTTTATGAGTTACATGGAATAAGAACCTGAAATACATTGGAGATCTGTTCACAAATTGCGTTGCAGAATTGAGACATGAACAGTATTGATTAATTGATTGTTTGTTTTTATTACGAAGAAAAAACTGTTCATAATAGGGATACATGAATAAATTTAAAAGAAGAAATCATAATAACAGGTTAACTAATAAATTCTACTCAGTGGAAACAGATATGAAGATGATCTATCGGAAAATACTATAATATACGTATGTCATCTTCAGTAACAAATAGAAATATTTGAAATAAATGGAATTTCAATAAGTGATATAATGTACGCATACAAGGTGTTTCACGCATTTTCAGATTCTCCCTGAAGAGCTGATTTCATGAATGCATCAAGGGCGCCGTACATTATGCTATTTCTCGGCAAGTTTGAGGCAATGCAATTTTCTCGCAAAATTGCATTGCATCGAACTTGCTGGTAAAGTTGATAGTTTTCTTGATTGGTTTTTTATTGAAGCTATTTGTTAATTTCAATATTGTAACTTTTTCAGTGTTTGTGAAAAAAATTGTTATACAAATTTTATGTACCCCCTTTAAGGGGCTGTATCTTAACAAGGGATGCTCCAATGAAGTTTCTTTATATGAAAGATCCTATCTTTTTTTCGATGAGGAATCATCTCCTTAAATGTTTTACACTTATTCAGTTACACCCTGTATACATCTCTTAACATCAGGTCACAGCTTATTACACTTTTCTATGCCCAGCATTGTCCTTTGGAATGAAAAATATTAGTCAAAAAGTCACTAGTTTTTTGGAATGGCCCAACACATTTCAGTCAGTGGTTTGTGATACTTTCGTCCTCAGATCACCTAATCAATTCAAAAACAATCTTGGTCTCAGGTTGAGAGTCAAAATAAAATTTTCATGAAAATTCAATTTACATAGTTGAAACTGGTTGGAGTCTTGGAACTATTAACTGCTTCATAAAATCATAAATCACACATGGGAATATGTATCCACCAAATATTGAAGAAATAACAGCAGACAACAGGATTTTTGTTGCAAGTTGTAAAATAGATTGATAAACAATGTTTTTTTTGCCCTCTCGACTTCTGGTTCTGGATGCTATACTCAAAATAATATGTATACTCGACTAATAAAGTCGAAATTATTCCACGTTCAATATTATTAATATTTTCATTACGATCAACTCAACATAACCTATAATTGAGAGAGGCGACTATGACAATTTATATTTAAAACGATTTATTTCAGAATTGACGATCATGCTGCCATCTATCGATTGAAACTATGCTTAAATTGTACCACGTGACTATATTTCCAAATTTTCCATAAGACCTGTCTATCTTGTCTGGTAACTGTAACTTATCTCTGGTACGGCGCCCTTCAAAGTTTGGGGTCTAGTAGGAATGGTTACAGCGATTAGGATGTTCAAAATCGAGATTTTTCAACTTTGGGATGTTTCAGTGTAGAATTTATTCATTATGGATTCAAACGGCATAGCATGTCCCTATCTCAACTTTTGATTCACTATCGCCTTCCGAATGTTGAAGAAATATCCGAAATGAATTGAATATAATAGGAAATAAGAATGGGAAACTAATCACTGGTCGCTGGTTTCTGGTCTGGTTTCCTCTTCTGTGCGATTATTTCGTTGGGTTTGAATAATCGCTTATAACACGTTGCTTCTTCGATCTAAGACATATAGTATTCATATTCAATACCAAATTTCAAATGAATTGGGAATTGAAATTATACGAGATCCAAGGGATATGAAATTGAAATATATACGAGAACTATTTTCAAATTCTGTTACCTGTCGTCTCTCCATTGAGAAATAAAGGTGACTTAGAAGAAAGGGAGATGATGGTCCCACCACCACCCCTACTAGAATGTAGGCTACTGAACAGTATCTCTCAATGATAATTCGACTACTATAATATACTCGAATCATGAACTTTCGACCTGACTTTGGAAAACAAAATTTTGAAAAATTATTTCACCTTCCCTTTTTCTTTCTCTCTTCCCCTTTATTTCTTTATTCAGAAATCTTATAACAATGCGGAATTCACAAAATGCAAGAATGGAAAATTCATCGCCCATAGTTGGTTTCTGGTCTGTGCCATCTTTCCATTGGGGTTGATTCTTCTTCGATCTAAAACATAGTTGGAATTGAATCTCGAATTCATGATTATTTGTGAATTTGAATTATGAGAGTCACATGGAATGAGAAACTGAAATATATATGAAAACTGTTTTCAAATTCCGTTGCTGAAACGCGACATATTCTTCTATTGCTCAAAAAATGAGCAGAACAGATAGCCAACAATTTTCTCCTAGATGAGAAACACTGTATATACCTAACCCATCAGGCGCCTACCCCGGTTGCAACGAGGGTTTACCGATGCCAAGGGTTGATACTCTCCCCTCGTAAGGGTACCTGTCGTGTCTCCATTGAGACATAAAGGTGACTATTAATTTTCTATAATATATCGCCTTCCATAACAAATATAAAATTTGGAAAAAATATTCGAAATGAATTGAATTTGATTCGTAAATAGACATGGAAAACTTATCACCGGTGGCTGGTTTCTGGTCTGGTTTCCTCTTCTGTACAATTTTTTTGTCGATCAATAATACGTCGCTTCTTCGATCTAAAACATAGTTGGTATTATATCATCACGAATTCATAAACATATTGAGAATTGAAATCATGAACCATACATGGAATAAGAAACTGAAATATATACGAAAACTTGTTCGAATTCCGTTGCTGAAACGCGACATATTCTTCTATTGCTCAAAAAATGAGCAGAACAGATAGCCAACAATTTTCTCCTAGATGAGAAACACTGTATATACCTAACCCATCAGGCGCCTACCCCGGTTGCAACGAGGGTTTACCGATGCCAAGGGTTGATACTCTCCCCTCGTAAGGGTACCTGTCGTGTCTCCATTGAGACATAAAGGTGACTATCAATAAATTTTCTATAATATATCGCCTTCCATAACAAATATAAAATTTGGAAAAAATATTCGGAATGAATTGAATATAATTCGTAAATAGGAATGAAAAACTTATCACCGGTGGCTAGTTTGTGGTCTGGTTTCCTCTTCTATCCAATTTTTTTGTCGATCAATAATACGTCGCTTCTTCGATCTAAAACATAGTTGGTATTATATCATCACGAATTCATAAACATATTGAGAATTGAAATCATGAAACTTACATGGAATAAGAAACTGAAATATATACGAAAACTTGTTCGAATTCCGTTGCTGAAACGTGACATATCCTTCTATTACTGAAAAAATTAACGGAACAGAGAGCCAACAATTTTCTCCTAGATGAGAAACATTGTATATACCTAACCCATCAGGCGCCTACCCCATTTGCAACGAGCGTTTACTGAAGAAGACTGTACATTGCACGGAAATTTTATATTTCATATATTGATTGATCAAATGTGACTATCGAAGAATGTTCTATGACGGATCGCCTCAAAAATAGTGAATTTTGAAGAAATATTCGAAATAAACTGAATATAATACGACATAGGAATGATGGGAAACTCATTACCGGCCGCTGTTTTCTTGTCTGGTTTTA